ATCTTGAGGCTAGGTTGAGTCTCGTGCATGCGGTCGCAGGGGCGAACTTTGGTTACTCGGCCGCTGTGTTTAGGTCTACGTACCAAGCAGTAGCGGAGTCTAGGATGAGATATGCGTTATGCACTCGAGTTGCTGCTAGCGTGAGAGTGCTAGCTAAATTGCAGATTACACAGAATGCTGGTGCGAGACTCATTATTGGGTTGCCGAAACAAACTTCTGCTGACTTGGTTCTGCGCGAGTCTGGACTGGAGCCAATCAACTATCTCCTGGATCTGGCCATTATAGGGTGGACTCTCCGGGCTCAGTCCTTGTTTTACACTCATGTAGCACAGTTGACCTTGGATGATTGGACGGGTTTGCGAAAATTGAAGGGAAGAGCCCCACTGCACAGATTCGATGATGTGATGGACGAACTATCAGGTCTACTACCAGATGCTCTTCCTCAATGTTCAACTACTAGAGTAGAGACCCCATAGATAGGTACTGTGCTGTTTTCGACTCGGTTCGGTTAGACATCGGTCAAGGCGTTATGAAGAAAGATGGCACTGAAAAGGAGCTCAAGAGATGTGCTGAGAACATGCTCTCTGAATTTGGAGATGGGATCCTGACAGTTTTCTCTGATGGATCAAAGGCTGATGGTAGAGTAGGATGTGGCTATAGATGTGTGCTTGATGGGTACGTTCTATGTGAGAAGGTAGTCCCGCTCAGTCCCTATGGTTCGATCTACTATGCTGAGTTGGCTGATGTCTTCCATGCTCTACGGTGGTTACTAAGTATGGATGGTAGACTGGTGAGTAATGGTACCTGTTTTTGCTTGGATAATCAGTCGGTGGTCTGTGTTCTGGGTGGTGGATTTGAAGATTTGGTTTTGACTGCTGAAGCTCCACTACTCCTGATGTTATACATGGTCTACTGTCTGGCCTTATGACTTGGAGATGCCAGTTTTCATAGTTGTACCATTGCTCTGGTTGATTACTGCTCGTGCCCATGATATGTCATTGGAAAAAAACTATCAATTTGAGATCAGCAATACATTTCATTTTCCTTGTGATTGGTACCAATGATCAAATGTTACTAATCCACCAATGCTGGACGCCGGATTGCAGAGCACGGTGATTGAACGGCGTGGTTTGTATTGCTGCGTCTAGGTTCCTCAGGAAAGCAAATTTTGGGAAAACTGGATGCAGTGTGAGGAAATAGGCACATGATCGACTACGTGTGTTGGTGACATGTGTGGGAATTCCGAGGAAGAATTGAGCCTCAACTATTATAGAAACCAATGAGCGTTTCCCTCAATTATTGAGGGAGCGCTCATTGGTTTCTATACACTACTAAGCGAATTCGTATGAAAACTTGTATAATTAGTGAAAGAACTCCTGAGCTCAGCTGAGGAAAGCGAGCATTTATTCCCGCAGACTGGGTGGCAGTGCTATTCACCAGCTCAGGTGGCGTTTCCCAATCACTGCTGGTCCGAACCTTATTAGCGAGCCGAAGTTACAACGGTTAGAATGGAATCTATTCAAGATTTGTCGGTCATCAACTAACCTGTATTGAGTCGAGATTCATCCGATCGTTATGCAGTCCGTCCAACGTATCACAGTTATTAACTGTCAGTTAACCCAGTGAATTACCACTAGTAGTGATTCACT